GTGGTCCAGTCTGTGGTTCTCAGTCTGTCCTGCACTGTCTCCTCTGGCTCAGATCACATGAAGGGACTGAAGGGACCTCTGCTGAAGAGGAAGCTTCACTTCAGGTAAACACTGTTTCTGGTTCTGCCCCAGATTCAAATGATCGGATCATGTTCGAACTCTTTATTCTGTGTTTCTTATAATTATCTTCAGTCTGAATGTGGCCTCATGTTTCTCTTTACAGTCGGACAGTCAGACTCTACTGCTCCTTTGTGACCAAAGAGCTTCTGCTGAGTAATCCAAAGTACCATTTCTGGACTGAATACATTGTGAGAGTCCTCTTTGATTCAAGAATATGTTTTTCTGTTGCTGTGGATTTCTGTCATTAACTGTTTGAATCAATGATGCGTTCAGGCTCCATTGGAGCTGGAGAGTCCGACTCAGATTTCTTTAGTGGACGAGGCCTCAGGAGAGGTAAGATTTGTTGCATCATATCTGTCTCTGTCTTTTATTCTGTCTTGTTTAAAGCCTTCGGTCAGACAGATGTAGAATGTCCTCCAGATGTTGCTGCATGTTCATTTTTGCTTTAACCGTCTTGTCTGTTGTTTGTGTGACAGAAAGAAGAGATTGTGGTGACGCTGCTTCCTGCAGGTCATTGTCCCGGCTCCGTGATGTGAGTGAAATCATTCTCAATCTCACTCTCAAATCTTTTAAAGGCCAAAGCATGACCAGGTTTGTGTCTGTGTGTGTCTGTGTGTGTCTGTGTGCAGGTTCCTGTTCGAGGGTTCTCAGGGAAACGTGTTGTACACAGGAGACTTCAGGTTCGCTGCTGGAGACGCGTCCAGAATGGAACATCTGCACTCCGGCAGCAGGTCGGTCGCTCGTGAACCTCTGTTCCTCAGATTAGAAGTAATCGTGGGTAAAAAGGAGAAATGTTTACTTCAGATGTTAAACATTAAAAAACCAAGATGATGAAGCAAACTAGAAACCAACAGCTCAGAGAAAATCACCAGTGATGTTGAACAGAAGTAGAAACAGGAGAAGCAGGCGACTGTTTGCCAAATGAAATCATGGCGGCAGTTGATGAAATGATTTTTGTTTTTACAGTCTGACGTCAGCAGGAAGGAACGACCTGATGATTCTTAATGTTCACATCATTGTTCGATGCTTCACAGGGTTAAAGATATTCAGAGTGTTTATCTGGACTCAACTTTCTACGACCCGCGCTTCTATCAAATACCCACTCGAGTAAGTTTCTAAATCTACTGTGGGATCAGTTTATTAGGTACACTTAATTTAACCTTCCTTCACGACGGGGAGGACGTTCAGATTGTGAAACTGTTGATTCAGATGTGAAGTGTTAATAGATCATTAATACGAATCACATTAAGTGGATTGTGTGTGTGTGTGTGTAGGAGGTGTGTCTGAAGGGCATCTCAGAGCTCATCGGTAACTGGATCAGTCAGAGTTCATATCATGTCGTGTGGCTCAACTGTAAAGCTGCGTATGGATACGAATACTTGTTCACCAACCTGGGAGAAACGTTCAACACACAGGTGACGTGTTCAAACATCAGACATCGCAGCGGAGCGGGGGTTTGAAACGTTCACGTTATAATCAGCAGTTCATCACTCGATGTGTTACGTGATTTTTTTGTGTTATTGTTTCATTCAGATCCATGTCAACAACCTGGGGATGTTCAAGAAGATGCCAGAGATCCTGAGCTACGTGACGACTGACCGCAGGACTCAGATTCACGCCTGTCGACACCCAAAGGTCCCATTTTAAACACGCACGTCAAAACATCCATAAAGTCAACACGTTGTCCTCTCCTGCCTCCTGTCGTCTTATCAAGGATCTTTAATGTGTGTGTGTGTAGGATGAGGAGTACTTACAAGGCAACAGGCTGCCGTGTGGTTGCACAGCCGGCGACGGGACTCGTCTTCAAATCATCAGCATCAAACCGTCGACCATGTGGTTCGGGGAGAGAACCAAGAAAACCAACGTTGTAATAAAGTAAGAGCAGTTTTCACACGTCTCAGTTTGTGGACATATATCTGAATTTTGTCTTCCTGAGTTTTATAATGTGACAGATTAACAATGATTTAAAGAATTGATTATATCTTTTATTTATTTTTTCAGAACAGGAGCCTTTTCCTACAGAGCCTGTTTCAGTTTCCACTCCTCCTACTGTGAGGTACATTTGAAAAGTCACTGTGACAAACAGAATTTCACTTTACAAATAAACATCGTATACCCGCTCCCTTTTTTTCCTTTGTCCACATGTTCACATTTCCAGTGACGCTCTTCTTCATTTCCAGCTGAAAGACTTTCTGACGTATCTTCAGCCCGTCAACATCTATCCCAGCGTGATCCCTGTTAATCGGACACTGGCTGAGGTCACACAGATGTGAGTGAGTTTTACAGCCACACCATAGTTTAAAAAAAAAATAAAAATCTTTCCTCTGTAAGTTTAAAAAAAAAAAAAATCTAAATTCAGATACACACTCAGATGTGTAAGATAATAAACTGAAGAATCAATAGTTTACCGTTGATTCTGTGTTTGATCAGGTTGAAGCTGATGTGCAGGAACCAATCTGATCAGCCAGCGTTTGTTTACAAACCTCTGGGAGTCCTGAAACGCAGCCGGATGGAGCGACCTACCTACGGTGTGACACACACACACACACACACACAC